GCTGGAGAGAACAACGATCAGTAAAGGGCTCACCATGCAAACGTGAAGACCAGAGCATGGATTCCCACACAACACCACAGTGGATCATGCTTCTAATCCCAGCACTATATATGTGCGCTGGAGGAACATTGGGATGCTGGGAGATTGCTGCCTAGCCAATCTAGCCAACCTGTAAGCTTCAGATTCAGAAACAGACCCTGCCTCAAAAAACAAAGTGGGCACAATCAAGGAAGACACTCGATGGCAACCTCTGACATCCATATGCACATGAACACACGCAGGCCACAGGTTCATATACACACCTGACAATACACATACATTGACAAACCAATTAAAAAAGCATGTTTTTCAACTATAGTGAAATTAGATTACAAATCAACAAGAGATCAGTTAAAGAAGTCCTGAATGCCTGAAAATTTAAGCAGCACACTTCTATTTAATTCAAAGGCTAAAAATAATTCAAACTTTAAATTAGAAAATATGTGGAAATAAATGATAATTAAAATATGTGATTTCAGAACATGGACATTGAAGGTACAAGAACACCCTGACTGAAACTTACTGAACTAGAAACAGTCATGCAAACTATTCCAGCGAATAGAAGAATAATCATGACTTCTCGAGATATTTGTGGAGTGGGAGCAAGCTTGGTGTTACTAGGTGTTCAGGGCATTGCAGGAAAGAAGAAGCACATGGCAGACTCTCCCTTGAACACTAACGCAAAGATTCTTAATAAAATATTAGTAAGTTTAAGAGGTTACTACATCATGATCAAGTAGAATTTATTCTAAGATGCAAGAGCAGTTTAACACTCAAAAACCAATTAGTGTAAGTCTGTATAACTAGAATAAAGAGGGAAATGATGTCATCATCTTAGTAGACATTTAAAAATATGTGATAGCATTCAGGACATATTCATGGCCCTGTTTTCTTGGTTGGTGGTGGCCCTGTAGCCCAGGCTATCTTGGAACTCATTATGTTGTAAGTCTAGGCTTGTTCAGGTATGGCTAACTACCAAATATTTCTGTTAGCATACCATGTGTGCTTATGATAATGTATGGAATAATTTCTTAGTGCTCACCCTGAGATTGGGCAAAGCAACAAAAAAAAATATTAGTTCTTTCTATACATCTTAATCATTACACTGGAGGTTCTTGCTAGTGCATGAAAATGAAATATCAAGTGATACAAGATTTTAAAATAACTAAACATGTGAGCACTCACCAATGACTTGATCATACACATATTCACCCACAAGAGGTCCATAAATTGCTAGAAACAAGTGAACTTGTCAAGATCCCCAAGTTTGAGGCCAATATATAGAATTGATTATATTTTTGTATAGCAGCAATACGCAATTCTAAAATGAAACTGTAAAAATATCATTGATAATTCCCTCCCCCTGAGACATCCTGGAAATAAAGATTTAAGATGCCATGAGGGGGTGTGTCAATTCATGCAGCCTCCATTTCAACAGAGTGTAGCTCCGAAAAAGAGAGATTATACTTAACCGCTGCTCCAGGAAGGACAAGTAGAGATTTAAAACCAAGGAACAGAGTGAGGACAGTGGATGAACAATGACTAAGAAGAAGCATAAAAGATAAGGAGTTTCTGTTCAAACTGACTTGTCAGGATTACTGCTGAACGCTGGCCAGGGAGATAAGGTATTGGGGCTAACAGCATGCCAAGTAGGAGATCTTCCCAAAACTATCTTTGCTATAGATACACAAGGAACAACCCCTGATCAAAAAGGCTGAAGATTCTGGCTAGAGTGTTGGCTTAAAGGAGAGTTTGGCACTAGATATATTTCACCCTAAGGCTCAGCAGTTCAGATTCTAGAAGGACAGCAATGCTTCTGTGACAATTTCAGTCACATGAGGCCCAGCTGGAGACAAGACAAAAGCTCAGTAACAACAGATAGACACTCAATAACAACAGGAGGACAATGAACTGGGGCACATTTTTACAAAGAATAAGAGAACACATTACTGTCACTTAAAATAACATGGAGAATTTCACATAGAACATGTTGTGTCACAGTAGACAGGCACAAAATCTCGTATTGTAAATTCATGCTCATGAGACGTTCAAAGCCAGGCAAGGTTAACCAATATGGCAATAAAGGTCAGAACAGTGATTATCATATGGTGCTTTTTCCTCAGAGAGGAGAGTCCTGGGAGGCTGCCAATGTCTTTGGAAAAGCATTATCCCCCAGAATGCTAACTCCCTGCACTTGTGATCTGTGCTGTTTGACTCATAGGGCTGGCTTGGAAAGCCAGATCCCAGGTTCTATGTTATAGCTTTTTATCTGAGCTGAGGCCTGTATGCATGGGTACCGCAGAGACTAGGAGAGTAGCCACAGTCCATGTAGTGGTGGCCATGCCAGGTCAGGCCATTTACCTGAGGGAAGCTAAGAAAAGCCTGCTGTGTGTCATAGGTGAGAGAGTTGTGGCAGGAGCCAGCTGTAAGGTCAAGTCAATCTGTGAAGACAAGAGTGAGGTCATCCCACAGAAATGACTTCATCAGCAAATGCAGCAAGGACAGTGTAGCTAAAGGGTCCACCATATCAGAAAAACCAGACCCATGAACTTATTGTGTGTTTCAGATGAACAAGATGCAACATCCTCACCTAAATCCCATAAAATGAGGGACACTGCGATGGTGATCTAACCATTGACCTGCCATCTGATCACCTGGGGCATGTATTAAGGGCCAGATAGGCAGAGAACTCCTGACTATTCCCAAGCAGTTTCAGCTCAGCAATCCCCACTGTTTGACAAGACCCACTTTAATTGCCATCTGTCTATTCATCCATCATTCATTCATCATTCATCAATGCATCACCCACCCATTCATCCATACATCATTCATCCATCCATCCCCCATCCATCATCTATCACCCATCCACCCATCATCCATCCATCTGTCCATCCATCCATCATTCATTCATCATTCATCCATGTATCACCCACCCATTCATCATCCATCATCCATCCATCCATCTATCCATCCGTTTATGCTCTTACACCCAGTCCTGTGATTCACCTCAAACGTCCTCTATTTCATTGTCTCGATCTACAAGCTCATTGCTGGGGTTTGTTAACATCTTGTCTAAGCATCTTCAGTGACTCAGACTCTGTAGCAGCTTTCCAACACTGCCTTGATGTGACTATTTTGTTCTCTGTGTGGCTTCTTTAAACCATTGGGAGCCACTCTGAAATTCATAGCTATGGGTATTTTACTATATGAAAGGCAGCATGTGATCTGAGAGAATCATTCATAATTAAGAGGGACATTACAGAGCTTGTGACTGTTGACAGCCATAGTCTCAAGAAAAATCCAGACAGCTTGATAAATTGTATCCAGTGGAACACTGTAGCCTGTCAATCTAACTCTGATATGTAACTTTTGACATTTCAAAAAGACACAGGAGTATCTGTCTATAGCACACTTAAAACATTCTCCTATTGTAGGAAATTCTGTTAGTCATCAACTTGAGATTCTATGAACAACTGAACTTGCCCTTTCTCTCATCTTGTACATACACATACACACATACACACCTGTAACTTCTTTATTATAGTATTAGAACAAGATATGATGAGAGTGATTAATCCTCAGAGAGACCCTAAACTTACCTTGGGACCTGTTTTCTAGGGAAAATAGGCAAACCTATAGCATGGAGACAGATATTCTAGAATCTATGTTTCCGTGTCTGTGTATGTGTGTGAGAGAGAGAGATGCATGCATGTGCTATGCATGTAGACATGAAAGGATCACTTGCATCAGTCTTTGTTTGTTCTTTCACCACAGGAGTTCCAGGGATCAAACTCAGAGCGTCGGGCTCCACAGCAAGTGCCTGTCTTTACGCACATTCACCTCTCTGGTCGAGACTCTCAACTCTGTACTTGTATGTATGATACATGCATTCATCTTTCCATATGAGCATGTGCTTTGGATCATCCCAACAAGTGCTTTAAACCTCCACTTTAATTCATTTTTTTCATTGTTTAATTTTGTGTTAGCACTAAATACTGACTTAATTGTTATGAGCCAAAGGTCAGAGAGAATGGAAAGAAAAGGTAAAATTGATGTTTTTATCTATGTGAAGACCAAACTAAGTTTGGATAAAAGCTGCTCCTGAGTGATGTGAAGTCAGGAGCATGATGGGCCAGTTTGAACTTTCGCCTGAAGTTTGGTGAGCTTGAAGACTCTATGTGGTAGCCAATCCTTCATAAATTATGTTTCAGGGTGACATTTAATTTCAGCAAAATAAGTTCATGTTGTTGGTTTAAACTTTACTGACTGGTAGAAGATGTCGGATACAGAAGTAAAGGAAGCTTGTTTTGCAAAATAAGATAAAAGCTTTACCTTTTCTCTCCAGTGTGAACTACTTGGTAACATCGGAGTTACTTAGTGCCGCTTTGGGAGTATATGAGTGTGTATGGAGCATGCCAAGGGATGCTGGGCTTGCCCCATTACTGCTGAGGATAACAGTGCCGTTCACCAGGAGGGAGATGTGCTCAGGTGTCTCACAGGGAAACAGAAGCTTACTTAAATGCATCAAAGTCAAGCTGGGAAGGTGGGGTTCAGGGGTGGAGGCGGGTGGGTCAGTGTTCCTGACTAGACAAATATTTGTAAGTAAACAGGTCTTCCAATGGCCAACCTGCTTTTCTGTCATAAGTGTTTCTGGGGAACCGGATGTAGGGTCCTCCACCCTTGCTCAAGGATCTGGCACAGCCCAAGGCAAGCCCAACACTCCTTTTAAATGGAAACACTTAAAAGCACACAGCTTGGCTTTAAACAATAGTTACTTTTTATGTTCTAGACAAATGAGCTTAAGAACCAATTGTGGTCAAGAGGTTAAAGACCTATAATAAATCACCATTAATAAGTTAAGACCTATAATAAATCACCATTGATAACTGTCTTTATCATATATATATATACACTAGAATAAGGACACTTCTGCCACCAACCCTTTGCAGAGGGAAATCTGCATGATGGGATCATTGAAGAATCTGGTCTTCCTCTTGATCTTCCACCTTCTGGAAGGAGTTCTGAGCAGTTCCCTCATCCAGCTGAACAAGAATGGCTACGAACACATTGTCATCACCATTGACCACAATGTGCCAGAAGATGAAGCCCTCATTCAACAGATAAAGGTACATTCTAAGAGGCAATTTAATTACCTGTGCTGTGGCAATTCCTAGCTATTAAATCCTCCATAAGCATAATGTTTTGATAAGGAGAACAAGATTTGTCTTGCTCCGGTTGCTTGGCTTGGAAAGACATTTTTATGTCTGAATCTCAGATTCTTTATCTGTAAAAGAAAACAACAGCTCTTTACCCACTAGGATTTTTACAAGAAACAAGGTGAATGTGACGTGTATAACTCTTGAGTTAGCTCTACTGTTATCACTTAACAAATGGTGTCGGTATTTACTGGCTGTAGGTTGTCACTGAAAAGTATTTTGCTCTATTTAGTGGCAGATTCAGCAGTATTCAGATACTGGTAACTGCACACAGCAGGTAATTCCTTTGCAGGATGCTACCACCAGAAGACCTTAGACCCTCTTTTTATTCTACTTGTAACTAACCCCTGATGCTAAATAGCTATTTAGCAAGTTAGCAAGCTCTAACTTAAAATTCTTCCAAGGGGCAGAGACTGGGGGGGCGGGGGGAATTAGCATCTTTCAACCTGGAAGCAAGGGGTCAGCTCTGGGCTGCCACAGATGTGGGGGAGTGGGAAGGGGCTCACATTGTTACTTCTTCTTATCCTGGAAGAGCTGAAAGAGTCTTCCAAACTGTCATCAGGAAGAGGAATGAGAGGAGGGCCTCCACGACAGTACAGGACTAAAAATAAGGCGGAAACACTTTCTAACAGACCACCCTGGGGTCTTCAGTCTGCCCACTGCACACCCCGGGTCAGCACTGTGGAAGGGGCGAGGGTCCTGCTCTTTTACAAGCAACCCTTTCACAAGAGCCTTGGGAGGAGCACATGAAAAACGCACAACAGCACCCAGGACATGGTAGGAGCTTAATAAACTGTAACTGTTGTCAACGGGTTCCAGTTACCTTTTTGTTTGTATTTGCTTTAGCAAAACTTTTGCTTTACTGTATTTTAAATTTTTATGTTTTTACCGGTTCTCTCTTTCATACATTAGTTTCATTTTCCTTGTTGCATTTCATTACCAGGCAATATGTCCTCTTTAGTTTTTTTATCATTTCTAAAATTAAAATTTTCTTCTTTGACAGTTTCCTCACATAGCTGAGTAGAAGCGATCCCCACTCTCCCTTCTCTCCCCTCCCCATCAGCAACATCCTTTCCCAGATTCATGACTTGTAGTGTTGTTTCTTGTGACACATTTAGTGACTATCTGTTCGACAATTGAACGTAAACTATTCATGGGGCCCTGGTGAGGTCACCAGTGAGCACACAACTGAAGGCAGTGACTCTTCTCTCTCCCCCACCCCCACCCCACCTCCAAATCTATCTAGTAAACAGTGAGGATTAGGGCAGCCAGAACCCCTCCTCCTTCAGTCACTTTCTTATTGTTATAAATTAAAAATAGAAGCAGGGGGACAGCCAGCAATGCTCTATGCTTGTCCTCAGGGAATGCTGGACCCTTCCAATAATCAACGCCCCCACACACACCCTTCCCTCAGGAAGAGTTTAAATGTATGTGTGAATATGATGTCATGCTCTCAGAATGCAGAACAAACGGCCCATGCCACCATTAAATCATGTAGACAAGAGCATTTTTTAATGCTACTTTCACTTCCTCCTGGAAGGCATTAAATAGTCACATTTCATGAGTGGAATCAGAGTAAAGTATTCAAACTTAGGCTTGTAGTTCTCTGCTGCCACGCCCCATCCGCCGCCCCCCAAAGAGCTGCCAGTGCAGTCACTAACAGCATGCGCAAAGCTTGAAACTGTGTGCTGCCAGGGCTGTCAGAGCCCCTCCTTCCCCAGGAGCAGGCAAAATGCCCAGAGCTGTCCATGGTGACCTCTCCTGCTTCCGCCTACTGCCCTCCTGGGAGCTGTGCACAGTGACAGCTCTCTCCTGTCTCTGTCAGGCACGCATTCTGCAGGGAGGGGCTTCCTTGTCGTGGACTCCCTTTATAAACTCAGTAAACGTTAGATGCTTGGTCAATCCTCAAGGCAGAAAGGTGGCCAGACCCCTGTCTGAGGAAGCTCCAACAGCCAGGCCCCCTCCCACAGACCTCTGTAATGGCTGCAAAGGTCATTTCTGGCCCCTCGATAGGACCCATCCCAGATTATGCTACTTTGAGGAGAATAGTCTAGGAAAAAAAAAAATCCCTGAGTTTTCCACAAAAATCCACCAATCCCTGAGCCCTGTAAGCTCAGGACTTGAAATCCCATCAGTTCTCACTCTGGAAATGTCTGCCCTGGAAAACGCCTCCCACTGGGAAATCCTACCTAAAGGCTGTGTCTGCCCAGTTCCCTGCTGCCTCCTCCAGGGAGCAGAGGCAGCCACTCTTGGATCCATCCCTCCTCTCCTGGATTCATCCCTCTAATAAATCTCTTTTAAAAGATTCAGTCCCTGGTCTCTCATCAGAAGAAGAAAAAAAGCAATGCAAAGAAAAAGAGAAGTAGAACAAGTGGAGGCTCCTGAGCGCCTTTGCTCAGCCTGGGGATACCTTCCCTTTGGAGCTGCAATGCTCAGAGCTGTGTGGTTCCTGGGCTCCCATGTCCCAGGATGCCCTTGCAATTATCAGGAAGGCCAGCAACAAGGTTTCTATCAATCGTCAAGTACTTGCTGATTTTATTTATTTGGAAGAATGATATTATGTTAAATCATTCCAGTGACTGTTAAAATCTGGGCTTTCGGGGTAGAAATGTAAAGACTAAACATCTGTTCTCAGTTGCCCAGGAGTCATTGTTGCCACCATCTGAAATGGGGGTGGGGGGCAGCTTGAAGAACAATGAATGAATACCCCAAGTTTATTCTCTGAGAAGGGTATCATTAGCTGAGTAAGGCTTCCCGCACCATGATGGGCTGTCCTCCTCCCATGTCTCTCCGAATGGGCAGTCTCCTCACGAGACTTGCCCCCGCAGCAAGACCTCTTTTTCTTTTTCCATTTCCCACTAGGACCTACACATTCTAATAGTTCCTGTTAAAACAAACAGAACCTGCACCCATTTCCCCGTTCCACTTTAACTTAAATGTCTCTCGTTTGCTTTAATTAATTTATTTAATCACTTCACATCCTAATCTCAGTGCACCCTCTCCTCCAAGTCACCTCCTGCTTTCCCCTCATCTTCTCAGAGAAGGGGAGGCCACCCCCTGGGTACCAACCCACCCTGGTACCCCAAAACACTGTAGGGCTAAATGCATCCTCTCCCACTGAGGCCAGACAAAGGAGCTCAGCTAGGGAGAGGGATCTAGAGGCAAGCGACAGAGTCAGAGACAGCCCCTACTCCAGTTGTTAGGGGACCCACGTGAAAAACAAGCTGCACATCTGCTACATGTGTGTAGGGGGCCTATGTCCAGCCTGTGCTTGCTTGTTGGTGGTTCAGTCTCTGTGAGCCCCCATGGCCCTAAGTTAGTTGGCTCTGTAGGTCTTCTTGTGGTGTTCTTGCTCCCTCTCACTCCCTCTGTCCTTCCTCCCACAAGACTCCCTGAACTCTACCTAATGTTTGGCTGTGGGTCTCTGCATCTGTTTCCATCAGCTGCTGGGTGAAGTCTCTCAGAAGACAGTTATGCTAAGCTTCCATCTGCAAGCAGAGTATCACTAATAGTAGTGTCAGGGTTGGCTCTCTCCCATGGAGTGGGTCTCAATCATCCTTCCTTGGACCCTTCTTGTTACTTAGCTTCTTTGGGTCAGTCGATTGTAATACCCACTTATAAGTGAGTACATACCATCCGTGTCATTCTGGGTCTGGGTTACCTCACTCAGGATGATAATTTCTAGTTCCAACCATTCGCCTGCAAATTTCATGATGTCTTTGTTTTTAAAACAAAAAACTATCCCATTGTGTAAACATACCACAAGTTCTGAATCCATTCTTCAGTTGAGGGACATCTAGGTTGTTTCCAGATTCTGGCTATTACAAATGAAGCTACTATGAACATAGTTGGGCAAATGTCCTTGTGGTATAGTGGGTCATCTTTTGGGTGTATGCTCAGGAGTAGTATAGCTGGGTCTTGAGGTAGATCTATTCCCAATTTTCTGAGAAAATGCCAGATTGATTTCCACAGTGGCTGTGCAAGTTTGCATTCCCACCAGCAATGGAGAAGTGTTTCCCTTGTTCTACGTCCTTTCCAGCATGAGCTGTCACTTGACTTTCTAATTTTAGCCATTCTGACAGGGGAAATAGGGGATAGCAGAGTCACTTTGATTTGCATTTCTCTGATGACTAAGGACATTGAGTATTTCTTTAAGTGCTTCTTGGCCATTAGAGATCCCTCGGTTGAGAATTTTTGTTTAGCCCTGTACCCCGTTTTTAATTGGATTATTTGGTTTGTTGGTGTTTAACTTCTTGAGTTCTTTATATATTCTGGATATTAGCCCTCTGTTAGATGTAGGGTTGGTGAAGATCTTTTCCCAAATAAACGTTTCTTAACCTGCTGTCTGTAGTTACCGTTTCTGGTCTCTCACCTCTCACCCCTCTGCCTCCACTCCCTCAGCACTGCTGTCTCCATTCTGCAGACATGGCTCACCTGTATTGCACACTTGCCAGCCTTCATCCCATTGCTTCTGATTTCCTTCCCATCCACTGATTCTTACCCCCTGGCCACCTCAGAACAGCAGACTTCTCTTCTTTCCTGTCAGCACTGATTCTCCATCCTCGCTGACACACTGGCTTCTTTCTGCAGCATTATCTGAACACTCTCTATGCTCCCTTGGTACAGTGCACCTCAGGGAGCCTGCAGGCACACTAGCTGCTGCTGCTCCCTCACCTCTTAGAAATAAAGCTATGCACAATTTGCAACTACTAAATGATGCTCTTTCCTTAAATCTAACTCTTAATACTATCCTTAAATGAACGCATCCAGTATCAGATCTCACATTCTCTCCAGTGCTGTGTGCTGTGAGACCTGGAGAATTATACCTCAGTCCTCAGTTTTCCTCTCTGAATTTTATTTATGGTCAAGGGATGAAATGTAATGAAGGCATGAAATAACAGCGAATAAATGTTAGTGCTAAGAAAACGTCTTCTTCCGAGGGTCACACGTGTGATGTCATTTGTGAGGTAGTCCTAACAACATCTCCCTTGCTGCAAGTGGTGAGATCAGAGCTTAGAATCGGAGAGTGCCTAATGTCCCACAAGAAGTGGCCGAGCCCGGATTAGCATCTGCCTTCATACAGACAGTGTGTGTTGCTCGGCATTGCTCTGTGGTGTGGCCCACACTCAGGAAGATCCACTGTTACTAAGAAGCAGTGCGCCCTGCCCAGTTGGGCCTTCGAAAGGAGAATACAGAGGCTGTTGAAATGACTCATAGCTCAGTGTGTTTTCAGTGATGTTACACATGTTCTCTCCTGCCAGGACATGGTGACTCAGGCCTCTCCATACCTGTTCAAAGCTACAGGGAAAAGATTTTACTTCAAAAACGTTGCCATTTTGATTCCTGAAAACTGGAAGAGGAAACCAGACTATAAGAGGCCAAAGCTCGAAACCTTCAAAAATGTGAGAACAAGTTCCTTTTGACATCTATTTTCTTCTGTGAGCCAGTGTCTGTCTGGTTGGTTGGTTGGTTGATTGGGGCATTTTGGCACAATTTATTTTCATGCTACACTATTTCCCCTGAAACAACCGGTACTCACTTGTTTGCTGAAATGCTGTGATCATCTTTTTTTTTCCCCAGGCTGATGTCCTCGTGTCAGCAGCTAGCCCTGCAGGTAATGACAAGCCCTACACTGAGCATGTAGGAGCGTGTGGAGAAAAGGGAATCAGGATTCACCTGACGCCCGACTTCTTAGCAGGAAAGAAGCGGCCTCTGTATGGACCACAAGGTATGCACTCAGCTAAAGCACTCAAGAAAATTACACATAATGTACCAACTGAATATTAACTATGCTAGTCTCTTTCTAAGTAAGCCTACAGATGACAAGCTAGAAATGAAGCTAAGGAAATATGGTTTTTCTTTTAAAACAAGGAGTCGGAGAGGTGTGTTTCTGCGCTATAATTTAGCATTTGTTTGTGTTTCTGTATAGGCGTGGCATATTAACTTTATAAACTATTATAGTTCCCGGTGAATACATTAAAATTGTTTGGCACGAAGCATCAGACTTCTAGGATCTACAGGCTTCGCCTGACTCTATTAAATCTCCTTCCTGCAGTTCATATAATGGCCACCACCAGATGGTGAAAGTGTGCTTGGGCGCATCTGAGTTGAGTTCCTGATTCAGCAGGATTTGGTTCCTGATTCTGTAGAATTCGGGAGAGGCTTGGGCGCTGCATTTTTAAACAGGCTTTTAGGTGATGCCGCACCACCACTCTGTGGGTAACAGATGGAGTCATCTCGCTGTCATCTCGCCTAAGCCTGTCACTGCTGTGTGGGGCATACCAGTCATCCCAGTCCGGTACAGCCGAGACAGAAGGATCCTGAGATCAGCCTGGACTACACAGGGAGACCCTGTTACAAAATTAAACTCTATCATGTCAATATGAGCTATGCAGAGCGATCTTTAGATGAAATAGTAAAAGCACACGCATGTGCTTTATACATAAACACAAATGTGGTTAGTTGTTGACTAACTGGTGTTCTTGAATAACTAGTGTTCAAAAATCAATTCCTAAAAAAGACTAGAATTCTCCAGAATTAGTTTGGTTTTCTTAACTTAGGCAAGGCAGAAGAAAAAGGCAAGCCCTGGTGTTGTATGCCCCACCCACACACAGATTAGAAAGGTCTGAACCTTGCCTCTGTGCTGTACAATATTCCATTTCACTTCTATGACCAGAAGACTCTTAACCTATGACTCAATACATATATGTTGAATTAATTGATCGATCTGCACTGTCCCAGTCCTGAGCTCACTGTAGCCACCACAGCTGGATATCACCTTAAATGATTCCTTTATAACCACGACCCCAGTCCTTTGCCCTCCAGATCATCTGGTACCTTTGACAGATAGTCGTTGCCTTTTCAGCACTTGAAAGAAAATTCAGTGCAAATCCTCAGTGAGGGCCCTCTCGCCTAGCTCTCTGAACTCAGCCCACCTTGAACTATAATTCAGAACCACAAGATGTGCATAAGTCACTAAGTCATCCAAATATTACAGATACTTGTTGGGTGCCTAGTAGTATCTAGATATGATATGCCCAGATACAACAGGAGAGAACTCACATTGCCTAACTTCATAGAGGTAAGTATGATGACAGCAAATATTGCAAGGTGCCAAATAATGAAACTGCAGGAGGAGCGCCTAGTCTGCTCTGAGCATGTTAGGGTGTCAGCTGGGTGGATCAAAGCTTGATTCTATTTCTCCCATAATGCTTTGGAGACAGGATTTCAAAAAACAAAAATGTTGTCAAGGCTGGCTTTGAACTAATGATCCTTCTGCTTCAGCCTCTTGAATATCTGGGATTGCAGACACTGACCGCCAGGCCTAGATGGAAGCATTTGAGAGAGGAGCAGTAATTACCACTGCAGACAGTGAGAGATGCCAACAAGAGAAAGTATGTGAAAAAAGAACCAGAGGTGAAAAAGAGCGTGATGCGGCCTACCGCAAAATACTCAGAAAGTTGTGATTACAGAGCCCAGAAGGTGAAGAGCAGGAAGAGGGCTGGAGTTAGCAGGCACTCCCACACTGTGCTAAGGAGTTGAACTTAACTCTTGTTAAGGCATTTTCTCTCTCTGATCCTGCTTGTCTTCCACAAGATCAAGTAGTTGGTGGGGAGGCAGCCGCCTGACCAGTGTGTTTACAGCCTCCTGGCTCTAAGTCATCAGTCCATGAACACATGATAAACCAAAATAAATACGTGTATCCTACAGAACTGCATACTTGTCATTTAAGGCCATGCTCAGGAAATCAAGCTTCTAATTTTACTATTCAGAAATCTATCCTAAAGCAAAGCCAAATAAGCACGGAGAAGAATTTTCTTTCTAGTGTGAGGTTATTTCACATTAAGTATCTTCAGCTGCTTGACTTTTTTCTCACAGAGAGGGTATTTGTCCATTTGTGGGCTACTCTCCGATGGGGCGTCTTCAATGAATACAACAATGAGCAGAAATTCTACTTATCCGAAGGGAAACCCAAAGCAGTGCGGTATGTGTATTTTGACTTCCCTTCACCAAACAATTTTAAAATGTAACCTTTCCTTGAATTGCTTCTAAAACACCAGTTTTCTGTCTTATTTTCTATTTCTAAGGCATTCTTTTTTCACGTTACTACAAAATGACCAATGTTTCTCAGTTCTGTGAACTGAGTTTCCCGCTTTGTAAATCACTGCCAGGCAGTCTGACAGGTGTCTCTGCTTTGTGGCCTCTGTGCCACATAGAGTACATCCTCGACTCATCTTGCTGACCTGACCACATGCTGGTTAGACTTTTCAAATCTCAGCCAGTGGACACTATTCCAACCCTGCTGTCTGTCTCTACTACGTCTCTTTCCTAAGCTTCACACACACACACACACACACACACACGATATTGTGTCCTCCCCTAAGAGAAAAGCTGTTTCATACTCATCGATTTCTAAGATCTAGAGTGTCTGGTCAGCGCCTTCTCCCTCCCACAGCTCTGGTGCACTTTAGGCAACATGACTACCATGGCCAAGATAGGAGAGCTCTGTTATCGTGGGCTTTCTAGGAGGAACACTCATCTGTGTAAGCATTTCCTCTCTTCCCCTCTGGGAGATTTATTTTGTACCACCTCAGTTTTGTGTGTTACTGAATAAACTGAGACAACTGTGATCATGACAGCCACCTTGTCTTCTTGCTGAGACTGCCCCTAGCATGTCTCTATTAAATATGGCACTGACTATTAGATTGCATAGATACTCTACGATACATGAGGAGAATAACTTCTGGACTGCTATCATTTTTTTAATACTTTTGGGCTTACAAATACTTTAAAGACTGTTTTGAAAGACAAAGGATAATAAGTAGTGTGTGTGTGTGTGTTGATACTGTTTCTCTTTAGGGACCACGGTGGTCACGTTGTCTGAATTTAGTGTTTTTGTTATATGATGGTATGTACGTTCTTCTTGGTTTAATGGGGGGGAAAGTCATGCAAAAGGCCAGCAGTCAGAAAGTTCAGGTGAGTGACTGCCCTGTAGAGATGATCACATTGCCTAACACCTAACCTTTATGTGCTTTCAGATGTTCAGCAGCAATTACTGGTAAAAATCAAGTTCGTCGGTGTCAGGGAGGCAGTTGTATCGCTGGCGGAAGGTGCATGATTGACAGATTAACAGGACTGTATAGAAAAGATTGTGCTTTCATACCAGATCCACAACAGACTGTAACAGCATCCATAATGTACAGTCAAAGTATTGATTCTGTAAGTGCCTTGTTGTTCTCCGCATGCCCGTATACATTTAGGGAGGTCAGTTTGGTTTTGGGTTTGCCCAAGCACTCTAAGGGAAGATCAAATTTTAAAAACACTACCTACCAGCTTTAGGGGGAAAGTCAGCAGCTGAATCTCTTTGAGATAAGCTAGTTTGCAGAAACCAAGCATATAGAACTCTTGCCATGTGTCACACTGGGCCAAATCTTGAGGAAGCGGTTTAGTGTGACATTGTCTGTCAGGGTGGCAAAGGACTCTTTTGTGCATTGCACTCTAAGACCACAGAGGAGCGAGTAGACATCTGAATGGACATCCCTCTCTAGGAGAAGGATAGAAAATGAGGAAAATATTTGGGAAGTGGATGAAGACAGGTTTACAAAGCAGGCGGTGGAGAATGAATTCCCTGGTGAAGACACACGAGCAAAGGGAGGGGGTGAAGAAGCCTGGCAGGCCTGAGAACCAACAGGCTAGACTAGAAGACATTACAGACTTGGACCACACAGCCCAGAGGAAGGTGGGGAGTGAAGGGAAAATCTCCAGCTCGTGACTGCTGTTTGCTGGACAAGCCACAAGGCTTGTAGAATGTGGGTCCTCACTAACCACACATAGGGTCTTGTAGGACTAAGGTTCCCATGGTAAAGTGCCTGCTGGCCAAACACAGACCTGAGCTCAGATCCCCAGAACCTATGCAAAAAGCCAGCACTGAGAGAGAGATGGGGCTAGGTTGATGGCTGAAGGTCAATGGCAGCCAGTTTCATCAAATAGATGGATTTCAGACACACTGGGAAAGCCTGTCTCAAAACAAAACAAAACAAAACAAAACAAAACAAAACAAAACAAAAAAACTGAAGATGGGGAGGGAAAAAGGATACCTAACACTGACCTCAGCCCTCCATGTGAACACGCTTGCATGAGGACTGGCACACATACCTGTGCACACAACACACACAGAGCATGCATACAATATAAACACTAAAAGCCTTATTATGAAAGTAAAAGGAAAGTGTTCTCAAACAGCTGTGGGGTGAACAAACTGGAGAAACAGCAGTGCGGAAAAGTCGGATAAGTCATGAGTGACTACAGTCTGAAGGAAGGACCACGAGGACTCAGATGATGGAGAGTTTCTTGGCATGGAGGGGGCGGGTGTGGACTGTAATCAGGAAGGAATGTCTACATCCTGATTGTTTTGGAGAGGAGGGAGAACAGAAACTTCCCTATTTCTTGAGCTGGGTGACTAGGGGCTTAGTGTTGACACCAAATCAGAAATGTACTCGGAGGGAGAAGCTGATGCAGGAAAGCGATGCACTCATTATGAAGACGTGGATGGAGCTGGAGGAAACAAGTTTCCAGATGAATTTTAGAGAGGCCTGGAATGATGCATGTTCAAGGTTGAACGCAGTATGTTGGTTAATGGGGGTTCAGAAAGTGAAGTAGTGGAGTTTGGTGGTGAGGATGGAGAGACAGGATTGCACACTGAGAGGAATACTGGAGTGTGGTGTGAAGAAGGGTGACATCTGGAGAGGAAAGGGAGCCACCTTAGAGCAGGTAGGTTGTTAACTGCAGAACAGTCCAATGAGGCTGAAGACAAGGACCGAGACAGGACTGTAGACTATCATTTTCCCAGTAGTGGTGAGACTGTGAGACTGAGCCATGGTTATAAGCGAGCAGAGGAGCCTGGGAATGGGGAGATGGGGGGGGGGTTCTGCTAAATAGTTTAACAGATATAGTATATGTATTGTTATATTGGCAATTTCAGGTGGTTGAGTTCTGTACAGAAAAAAATCACAATAAAGAAGCCCCAAATGCCCAAAACCAACGATGCAACCTCCGAAGCACATGGGAAGTCATCCAGGAATCTGAGGACTTTAAGCAAACCACTCCCATGACCACTCAGCCACCCACACCCACCTTCTCCTTGCTGCAAGCAGGACAAAGAATTGTGTGTTTAGTTCTCGATAAGTCTGGGAGCATGATGGTATGTTCACTGAGCACCTTTGGGGCTTGGATTGCAGGTGTGTGTGTGTGTGTGTGTGTGTGCGTGTGTGTGTGTGTGTGTGTAACAATCTGGACTGTACTCTGGACTTGGTAGAGAATAAAGACAACAGGAGGACCAGACCACAACAGAAGCTTTGTCATTAGAAATGTTCATCTTGGGATGGAGAGATAGCTCTGCTGTTGAAGTGCTTGTCTTGCAAGCATAAGGGCATGAGTTCAAGGCACAGAACTAGCTTTTGATTCCAGCGCTGGGTAGAGACAGGCAAATCTCAGTGGCTTCTTCACCAGCAAACTCCAGGAGATAAGAAGGATGTGAGCGCGCGATGTTCACATTGCCTCATTCCACAGACTCAGCATCAACTGCCCCTCATGAGCAAAGATCTGATGAATTATACAAGCTTCATATTGTGTGCGTGTTGCTAGCATAACTGGCCTAGAGTTCCATGTAAGCCTTATTTAGGCCTATTACTGATGCACTGGGTTCCCGTGATTATGGAATATAGCTTTTTGCTTTTTGCCATTTATGCAAAAGCTCTACAATTTTACCCAGAGCGGATGCCAAGTCCTAATGGAAAATATCACCCATAAAAGGGCACAGCGTAAGTATACACCTGCTTCGAGGCAGCCCCTTCTAAGTACCTGTTAGCCTGTTACCCTGATACCCTGTTTATTTCAGGGCCAACTTGACTGCTTCTGTCTGTCCACCCTTTCAGGCTGATAACCGTCTTAACCGGCTGAATCAGGCAAGCAAGCTTTTCCTGCTGCAGACCGTGGAGAAGGGAGCCTGGGTCGGCCTGGTGACGTTCGACAGTGCGGCCTACATCCAAAGTGAGCTCACCCAGATAAAGGGTGGTGCTGACAGAAATTCGCTGACTAAGCGCTTGCCCTCGGTCGCTTCTGGAGGAACATCCATATGCTCTGGCCTTCAAGCAGCATTTAGAGTAAGGCGTGGTCCACTGTTGTCATTTGCAATTGTTTGTGAGTTTTGCTCCTATGAAATTTTCATTTCTAGAGTTTCCATACATGGCTGGTGTCAGACTGAATCATATGACCGGGGACAAAGTGACAGGCAGAAGGTACAAAGACACAGGCCTCCAGAGCTATTACTAATTTACTTCTTCATATTCACTCCTTCATGCTCTGTCCTCTTCTGCACCTAGGCATTCAGGCTTTTCTGCATGCATGCCTGCACTGAAAATATGTCTCATGTGCCTCCTCCACCCAGCTCTACAAGGTTACACATTCTTAGACTCAGTGGCAGGGTCATCTGATCTCATCTGATGACACAACTCAGTTACCTTTTGTCTCCCTGAGGGAAACATGGAAACCCCAGCCTAGACTCCATGACACACAGCAATTATTAGAAATTTGACAAAGGGATCCAATCTGGGCCATAGTTTTTACTTCCAAGGCCCTGAAGCACCTTGGTTAGACCAAGGCTGTGACCACAGACCCCGAAGCCCTGGTTCTTTCCCATGTCCATCATCTCAGTCCACTCGGTCAACTCTCTTCTGACATCATCAAGGTCGCCTTATGTTGTGCTCCCCCGTCCGCACTCAAACAGAGAATGCAGTCGGGGGAAGTCTCCTGCCTCCCTCCCCCTCCAGCCTTCTGGCTGTACCATCTGATTCTGACATCTTCACGCAGAGAGCAGAGGCTGCAGGACTTGCTCTTGACTCTGCCCTGGATGTTGATCTCTTTCCATCATTTCAGTGATGTGTGCAGTCTGGTTTTCCTGAATGGATCACATAGGCCTTTATTTCATTGTCTTTTCATCATAATCTCATTTACCATTGGCAGATGTGCACTGTCCTCTATGCTCTGTTAAAAGTGTAACTAGGTATACAACTGGACATAAGAGTGGGAGAGTCAGAAGGTCGGGGTCTTCCTTGTCTACACAGGGAGTTTGATGCCTGTGTAGGCTACATGATACACTGTTTCAAAAAACAAACATCAAAGGTGTGTGTGTGTGTGTGTGTGTGTGTGTGTGTGTGTTTGTGTGTGTGTGGTGTATGTGTGTGTATGTGTATGTGGTATGTGTGTGGGGTGTGTGTGTGTGTGTGTGGTATGTGTATGGTATATGTGTGTGTGTGTGTATGTGGTCGGTGTGTGGGGTGTGGGGGAGGGTGTGTGTGTGTGTGTGTGTGTGTGTGTGTGTGTGTGTGTGTAAAGGAACAAAGTAATACCTTGCTAATCAGAAGGGTATTAGAAGGGAACAATGTCCAGTCAGAATCTATGGTACCAACTTAAAGTTGATATCGCCAGATAGCAAAAAGCTAAAGCTAAGACCTCCTCTGGGTCCGCTATCCCTCAGCTGGTTCCTGGTGTTTTCTGATAGCATCTTGGAACTTCTCAAAGCTTCTCAGGGAGAGAGCAAATGAAGGAAACTCCAAACCCCTGTGTCCTATCCCAGAACTGGCTGTCCCTAGGACTACCCTGCATTGCTCAGCATCCATGCTGGGGCAGGCTAACAACAAAAAAAGATCACTGTTGAGTTCCGTGACAGAAGTGCTACAGCGGTGTCACTGCAAGCCAGGTGCTCCTCCAACGTCCCCAGACATGTGCTTGGTCCCCCCACAGTTGCTCCTTCCTGTCCCATGTGAATTCAGTTTCCACAAACACCCTGGCCACCTCAAAACTGACAGCTGCTGCTCTCGATCGTGTCCTCAGGTGATAAAGAAGAAGTACCCAACGGATGGGTCTGAGATCGTGCTGCTGACAGATGGGGAGGACAATACCATCAGCTCCTGCTTTGACATGGTGAGGAAGAGTGGGGCCATCATCCACACGGTGGCCCTGGGACCGACTGTTGCTAAAGAGCTGGAGCAGCTGTCCAAAATGACAGGTGAGGGACGGCCTGTAGAGGCCATTGTTTCTACCAATGGACCCCATGCTGCGGTCGGTCACCTGGGGAGTCAGGAAAAACGGGGTAAGGAGAGAGGGAGTAATGTCAGCCAAGGAGCTACACTTCTCCCAAAGACCATTACCACTGACTCTACCCATTCTCCTGAAGGTCTTGGCTCCAGGACCAGGCCAGATCACAGAAGATGACACTGTGCTACACCTTAGTGACAACTCGGGGAGCCCTTCCCGGGTACCTTATAAGTGTTTAACTTTACCTGGGAAAGGCAGGAGGGAGACACGGGGGAAAGGTGAAGAGCCTGATGAACAATGCAGAGGCTGCTTCAGTCAAGCAGTATACAGCAGCTTCTCCGCAGAAGCCCAGTGTGCTGTGAATCTAAGTCACACACACACACACACACACACACAGAGAGAGAGAGAGAGAGAGAGAGAGAGAGAGAGAGAGTTCTGAACCTCAGCTTTTGTAGCAGAATATGTGAACATTTCCTTTTACTTAGGGATAATATTAGAAATATAAACTATTACCATTGGAGCCTAATGTATCCACCCATGGATAGTACACATGATTAGAGAAGGTTAGCTCCCAAAAGAAAAGAAATGAAGGGCAGACGGAGCAAAGGGTGGAGGCAGATTTACACACTAGCCTCAGTCTGGCCAAGGGACTTGTAGACTGGAAACACAATACAAACTTGGTCCTCCCTTGGGACGAGAGGGCTCCCTTCTGTACCGCTGCACCCTTCCGCCAACGGGCATTTATTGTCGAAGCAGAGCAGGGTAAGAGCCATTTTTCTGTGAAGAATGGCTCTTTTGGGGTAAGGCCATCCTCTAGAGAACAAGGCAGCCATTAGTCGCTGGTAGCCAACACTTGACACAAAGCACACTTCTCCTTACCTGTAAGAGTCTTAAAACAAGTGGGATGAAGGCAGAACTGCAGAGACCCCGCCCCCAGCTTTGGGTGTGATTTAATACCCAAGGTACTCCAAGGTGCTTTCCACCAAGCTCACAACCCGAGTTCTGTCCCTGGAACCTACGCTGTGTAAAGAGAGAGGCAGCTGCCACACCTCGTCCTTTGCCCTTCACACTGTGACACACACACACACACACACACACACACACACATAATGAATACAAAGAAGATAGTTAAGAGTGACTTCCTCTTTGCTTCTTCAGTTATACTCATTCTCGATACCCAAGCTTCCAGGCCTGCTGTATTCATCTTTCTCTTACTACACACCCCAGTTCTCTGCAAGAGTCCCTTCGTCCACTGTTATTTCTTGATGTCACACACGTATCTCTCTTGGCTTGAGATACAACTTTAAAACCCAGTTTGTTAGATCGGCATTTAAATAAGAGCAAGCCAATCTGTGCAGACTGTGCTTTAATAGACTTTCTCGTGCGGAGACACATGAGGTCTAAAACACAGATGCTCTGGGGGTTTGTGCAGATAGTTTAAATAGCTTCATGACAGCATTTCTGAAGCTATCCACTAACAGAACTGAAAAATCAGTGTCAATGGGACATGATGGTGTAAACCTGTAAGCACATTAGGTAGGGTAGAGGCAGGAAGATCTGGAGTAAAGGTCATCCTTGGATAAATAGAAGTCTTGAAGCTGGCCTGAACTATAGAAGACTCTGTCACAAACATGAATATATACATATATATATATATATATATATGTATATATACATATATATATACTCACAAGCTGATACTGATACATATATATGTAGAGATATATGATATATATGATATCTATATCAATATATATATAAGATATATTGATATCTATATCTGAGTAAGTGTACATGTATGTTTGCTATTCATTTATATTGTTATTCAATTATATTGTGTATCCTGCTATCTTAGCTATAACTAAAATGTTGTAAATGCTTGCTTTCTGGAAAATAACTTCTGATGACGTACTTGCATTTTAGGAGGTTTGCAGACATATGCTTCTGACGAGGCTCAGAACAATGGCCTCGTTGACGCTTTCGCTGCCCTTTCATCAGGAAATGGAGCTATCTCTCAGAATTCCATCCAGGTGGGGGTTCTTACTATTTGGTTTCTCACATTTACTTATAATCACAGACTAAACTGTCGAATGCTTTGTATTCTACATTCCTTTGTGTATTAAAATTTCCAGTCTTCAGCTTGACATCAAACATTATTTTCCAAATGCAGTCTTCCTTACTAAAATGAGGCTGTTGGCATTTACCTATTTTCTAAGAAAATGAAGTGACTTACAAAGACCAGCAACATGAAACATAATGTGTACTAATCTTTTGTAAGCATTTGCTAACACGCACTCATTGCAATATGATTGACTCACATAGTCTTCAAAACAGATCATTTATACATTCTCAAGGACAAATGTTCAAACATGATTTGCATTATTTTTCCATTGCCTCGAGCCCTGAGTCCTTAAGATTTGCCATGATTTTCCTGTAGCAGAGAGACAGCGCTTTACCCTGTGCAAACCCCGTGAAGTCCACTCAGACTCCTAAATCTTGAATCTGAATCTGCCATTAGCTGATGTTGGGAAAAGACCCTCACCTCTCTAAGCATGGGGAGAAAGCTTCTGCAGACTGTCTGGTTCTAAAATGCCAAGAAACTCAAATTATCTTTCAAATATCTTGGGACTGTTTTTGAGAAGGACAAATAGATTTCAAAGTGCTCTGGTAGAATAATTGCAGAAACTGTGTGTGGAATTTTCTCTTTTCTTTCTTTCTTTCTTTCTTTCTTTCTTTCTTTCTTTCTTTCTTTCTTTCTTTCTTTCTTTCTTTCTTCTCTCATACATTACATCCCAACTGCAGGTTCTCCTACATCCCCTGTCTCCCCTCCCTCCCCTCCCTCTTCCTCCTCTTAGAAAAGAGCAGGCCTCCCAGGGATATCAACTAAATATGGCATAACACACTACAATAAGACCTGGCACATACCATCACCTCAAGGCTGGACAAGGCAACCCAGAAGGAGAACAGTGTGAAGCTCAATCTTTCACAGTCAAAGTTTGAGTAAATGTGGAGAAATGGCGGCACATCAAAGCCTGGATAACAGCTTTCTAAACAATAGGCTTTGGGGCTGGCTGATGTCCCCTATTTCCAGTCTAAGGAGATAGCAATGGCTCCTATGTTGGTTGTCCTGCACGAAATTTAATTTAAAACTACACTCAAGGGCCTTGTTTTTTCAAAGAAAGGAATGCACCCCAAAAAGGTAATTCAGCATGGAAAGGTGAGCAGGACTCATTTACTAACCTACCATAAGAACAAGAGGTTCTGTCCTGGGAGGTACTATAATTAGAGATACACTAGCAAAGCACAGGGTGATGTTCATCAAAGGACAGCCACGGAGAAAACTCCATCAAAGCCCACAGGAAGGAGATGATTCATACATCCTAAAAGATAGACATCAGTGAAGGCTTCATGAAGAATGTGACATTTGCACCAAATTCTGGAGGACCAGAAAGGCTCAGACAAGCAGAGGGGAAGTAATGCTGTCTAGGAGAAACAGACAGTGTGAAGTTCGGGATTCATAAATCCTGAGAGGGAGGTGGTCTTTTGGGTGGAGAAAGAAATATCATGGAAACTTGAAGCTGAAATAGTAACTTAGAATTGAATACTAAATGACTCTAAATACCAAACAAAGGACTCAACAACACCTGCAGACCTTTTAGTTTGGGGCTTGGCAGTCAGGTGGTAAGCCCTGAGATGTATACTTCCTGTCTAGGGAGTAAAGTGTTGGTCTTCTCAACAGCTGGAGAGCAGGGGCGCTAGTCTGCAGAATAGCCAGTGGATGAACGGCTCAGTCATCGTGGACAGCACCGTGGGGAAGGACACCTTGTTTCTTGTCACCTGGACAAAAGCTCTTCCCAAGATTCTTCTCTGGGATCCCAGTGGAAAAAGACAAAATGGTTTCAAAACAGACACAGACACCAAGATGGCCTACCTCCAAGTCCCAGGCACTGCCAAGGTACAGAGTCAGCTTTCTTGCAGGCTAGGCAAAATTATTTTTAACAAATAATAGTAGATTTAAAAAAGAAAAAAAAAAAAGAGAGAGAGAGAGAGTGAGTATGACATCAGGAGAAAACAATGACAACTTTGTTCATTGAAGTCAGCCAGCCAGTTAGGACAATAGGTAATTTTATGTCCCCAAATGAAAGGGGAAAAAAATTGATGTATATAGGAGTTGGGAAGACAATGATTCTTGTTGCTTCAGGATAATGAAAACCTGTTTTCCTGTCCCTGAAAACTCATGCCTTGGAAACTCCAGGTAGTGGTCAATAAGGAGACAGCTTTCAGGCCTCATTATCCCGAACTAGGTTGGTCTTGACAGTGGGAGCCATGTAGTTAGTCTAAACACACTCACTGTTGCCTCGACTGAGAGTCAAGGACATCCACATCTTCTTAGACATGCTTATAATGTGCTTTAGTCACATAGGCATTTGTTGTATGTGACAGTGAAGTTAGGCCTTTGTCACTAACTGGAAATACCTGCATCTGTTTTGGTCAGGTTGGCGTTTGGAAATACAGCCTGCAAGCGAGCTTGCAAACCGTCACATTGACCGTCACCTCCCGAGCCTCAAGTGCTAAGCTGCCTCCTATTACATTGACCCCAATAGTGGGCAAAGACACAGGGAAATTCCCCAGCCCTGTGCCAGTGTATACAACCATTCGCCAAGGAGCATCACCCATTCTCAAGGCCAATGTCACAGCCCTGATTGAATCTGTGAACGGAAAAACAGTAACCCTGGAATTACTGGATAATGGAGCAGGTGACGATCAAAGAAACTATAAATTAGGTCTTCTTCTCAGTCACCACCAAGGAATGGCAATGGGCACGGTCTGGGGCAGACCATCGGCTGCAGGGAACCTGGCACTGGGATTGAAAGGGCTATCTGCATCCCTGTACATGGCAGATTCCAAAATGCTGGGAAACATGAGGAAGGGTCCAGGCTCAGCCTCTACAAAGCCAAATTACATTACTGTTTGAGTGCAATAGGGTTAGAGGCTACACAGAACTGTCTGCCTACCAAACTAAGGGAAGGGAATAACAGAGATTTTCTGTTAGGCCCAATGACTACTCAACATGTATGCACATACAGACACACATATCTTCATTTTTATGTTCACCGCACACGTTTAGACACTACTATCCCCGCATTACTGGCGAAGAAACACTGTCACACTTCAAACAACAGAACTGAATTCCAGCACAGGTCTCGATGATTGCTCTCCCCAAGTGAAAAATTCTGCCCATTTTTCCTGAATTTAAAAAATCTGTAAGGAAGTAATGCGAGTCTGTATTTCTTCTGTAGAGGTATCTGTTTACTGTGACAGAGGTATATTTATTAGAATGAATTTTATAAGTGAATTCCAATCACAAACATCTCCTAGGGAAAAATTATGGATTTTTCCTCCCTAATTGTGTACATGGGGCAATCTGATTTGACTTGACAGATAAAGAGTGAGCTGATAGCTCATGACAGCAGTCATGACAGAGACATGTGAAATGACCTCTGATTTAAAAAAAAAAAAAAAAAGGACAGTTCAGGGAGAAAAGACTTACACAGACATACATATGCATTTACATACATATGCATAAACGTCAGGCCTTGGTCTGTACATAATCAAGCCTCATGAGGGTCTCTTGTAGATAATGCTCAGTTTCTCTTTTTGCAAAATGTTGACCCACATACAGATTGGAAATACAGGTTTTCAGTTGCCTTTCCAGTATTCATAAATTCCTTCATCTCCTTGTCAAGGTGCCGATGCTACCAAGAACGACGGTGTGTACTCAAGGTTTTTTACAGCTTTCGATACAAATGGTAGATACAGCATAAAAATACGGGCTCATGGAGGAAATGCTGCAGAGAGACAGAACTCGGCACCTCAGAAGAATGCAGCCATGTACATAGATGGCTGGATTGAGAATGGTGAGTGACCTGGAGAGTTGACTGAAAGACTTGAGTCCAGAAGAACCACTAAGTCTGTGAGGCAGAACGATGCAAGACAACTCTTGGTTTCTGAGTCTTACCTCTGCCTTATTATTGTTTGGAGCTAGGTGACCCTTTGTGCTGAGTTCACTCTCGTGTCCTACAGGCTCCTGCTGTGTCGCTGAAATCCATCCACTAGATGCCAGGAACAGCCCCACCCCCAAGTTATGGCATCCAAAAATGTCCCTAATCATCCCCTGTTTTCCTGTAAGAGGGCAAAATACCCCATCTGAAAACCAACCAGGTCTACGGCCATACCACCCTGAACATGCCCGATCTCATCCGAAAACCAACCAGGCAGATGATAGCTTTTAACCACTTTGATTCCAAACCACATCATCTACAAGATAAAATATATCTCTATTGCTTCACTTTTTCCCACTTCAAAATCATAGTGGTCTTTGAGGTAAACAAATGGGAAAATATGTCTTAAGAAATAAGACATTCCACCCCACTCTGGGTTTACAACACTTGTCTGAGATCAGAGCGAGATTGAGAGCAACAGAGTCTAGAGGATCTCAGGACTTGCTTTGGGAAATTAAAACCACCAAAATATTGTTTTAAAGAAGCAGACTTTATGAGAAATCAAATTCTGAACAATGCCATATCATGAGCAGAACACTGCTATTAAAGACAGGTTCTGAAAGCTCAGATGGCTGAGCGAACCACAGTAGTTTTTGAAGCACCTAATTAGTTTACATAAGAGTGTGACTCAAATTCGGAAACTGCTACATGAATAAATTCCCAGGTGTTGACAGACAGTTGGGCTGGGTGTGGGTGTCACACATCTGCAATCATAGCACTTTGGGGACACACGCAGGAAGACAGTGACACTATCTTCCAAGAGGCCGACTTGGACTACACCGTCAGACACTGTCTCACACTAAAAAGAGACAGGATTGGGATTCTTTCAGGAGCATAAAGGAACATAACATTTACAATTTCCTGAGAAATTGGAGTCAAGTAAGAAAGACAGAACACAAATACAGAAAATGTGAAAACTGCGTAAATTAAACAATCAAGGAAATTCTCGAAAGCCAAGGAGATTAAGTACCAAGTAGGTGGGAGAGAGTATGGCACGCACAATATTATCAAAATGATGCGAGACTTCTTCAGGTGATATCATGCTTAAACAGAGATGGTGTTTAAACTGACACGGTGGAAGACGGGAAAAAACGAGGGGCCAGTGAGATGGCTCAGTAGGTAAGGTGCTTGCTGATGACTCACGGCTAAGCCTAACAGTCCTGGGGTAATTTGCCCTGTGACCTCCACATGCTTTCCTTCAACACAAATAACTAAATAAATAATTTTTAAAATTAAAGACAAAAACAAAAAGAAGAAATACAATTTCAGAAAAAAAATATTAGTTAATTCTAGAGTTTTCTTTTTCCTTTTACAACCAGGAGACACCTGTTAGGTAAAGAAATGTGGGCCTCCCTTTGCTCATTTTCTTCTTATGCAACCCAATTTGGGGGTCTTGTCACCAAACTTTAAGGTGAATTTTATTGGTGAAAGGAGAGGAGAAAAGAAGAGTGGGAAGATCCAGAAAAAAAAAAAAAAAAAAAAAAAAGGGTGGGTAGGCTAGCCCTTCAGTGGTGTTGCTTTTCATACTTTGAATAAATTCTAACACAGGTGAAATAAAAATGAATCCTCCACGTCCTGAAACTAGTTATGTTCAGAAAGAGCAACTGAGCTTCAGCAGGACATCTTCGGGGGGATCGTTTGTGGCCACTAATGTCCCCAAGGCTCCCGTGCCTGACCTCTTTCCACCTTGCCAAATCACCGACCTGAAGGCCAGCATCCAAGGTCACAACCTTGTGACTCTGACTTGGACGGCCCCCGGGGATGACTATGACCAGGGGAGAGGTAAGGCCTTTACGGTGAAGACTATATAAGGAGCAACCAACCAAGCAGGGGCACAGGAGGGGTTTGCAGGTGTGTTGGGTGGAGGAAACCGAAGGCAGGGAGTGAATTAAAGGTGCATATTTTAAAAGACCTTCTTAAGGAATAAGACATCTTATCTAGGGAAAGAAAACTCCAGGAGTTTGTGTTTTGTTTTGAGGTTTGTTGTCATTCCCCCCACCCCCTTGATAAATGAGGCTTTGTAGTGTTTCTAGAGAAACTATGAATAGAGGGTCAATATCTTTGAAAGAAATTTCCCATCCGATTAGAATTTGGCTCTCAAATACAAAAATAAGATCTGGGGTGCAGCCTAAGGTTCTCTGTTTCTTGCACGTGTTTATGAAATGTGTGGGCAGCAGGCTGACCTAGTAAACTAGAACCTGCATTTTAAGATTCTCTGAGCAAGCTAATGTTTGAGCACCAACCCCCCCTCCAAATAATGAAATAATAAGCCGTGATACCCTCCTTCCTCAGCCAAGCCCTACACTCAGAAACTCTGACCAAGGCGTCAAGCCACCATTGAACCAAGTTTATGTTCACTCTGTTAAGAATAACAAGCGCATACAGTAGCTAACAGCTCCTGTGATAAGCAGTTCCCTTTACTCACTGTAGTTCCTGAGATGATGATGTAGTCCCTAGCCGACTTTTTAAAGTTTAATATTTGAGAACTACAAGTCACATTCTCCCTCACTCTTCTTTTTATCTTCTATTCTAGCCTCCAAGTACATCATCAGAATGAGTACCAGTATCGCCGATCTTAGAGACAAGTTCAATACCTCAGTCCAAGTGAGCACTATCGACCTCATCCCCAAAGAAGCCAACTCTCAGGAGACCTTTGAGTTTGAGCTGCAAAACAACGCTTTTGAAAATGGCACTGACATCTTCCTTGCTATCCAGGCTGTGGATAAATCCAATCTAAAATCAGAAATCTCTAACATTGCCCGGGCATCTGTGTTTATCCCCACTCCTGAAGACACATCTTTTCCTTGTCCTGATGTTAGTATCAACAGCACCATTCCTGGCGTCTATGTGTTAAAAATAATGTGGAAGTGGATCAGGGAAATTCAGGTGAAGCTAGGTTTGCACTGAACTTTCAGGCAATGAATAGATCATTCCTTTCATTGTAGAATTTTCTAAAAATGCATTTTAGACTTCCTGTAGGGGGCGATATAGTAATATGGGAAAAACTGATCCAGATGTATTAAAAAATTATCTGTTCAAATTCAAAAGTGTGAATATTCATTGATCAGTCTTTGAATGGTAAGCTTGAATGCTTGCGAGTGTTGCTTGTGCCGAGTAGATTTTAATCTGTCCTAAGGAACTTTGCCAGCTAAAAATAGGACTCAATTGCAGTTAGTCGATCTACTAACTATTAAAACATCAGAAATGCCTAACCCAACTATTTAAATACAAAAGGGCTGGTTTCTTATTTAGGGCCCCAGCCTAGCCTGAGCAAGAATGTGTCTTCTGTTCTCTAGATCTGAATGAGGATGGCACAGTTAGAGAAGGGAGTCTACTTTAGAAAGAAATCCCACACTGGGGCTTCCATGGGAGTAGAAATGCATACCATGTGCCTGAACCTACAAGAGTCAGTGATACTTAAAGCCACAGTGCTATCCAATGAGGAGGAGTAGGAAGATCCAGGCCAAGTGATACAGAAATTTAAAAATTTATTTAATAATTATTTTACAAATTCCTATTAACAGCTGTCCCAGTTACTTTCCTATTGCTGTGAAGAGACATCAAGACCAAGGCAGCTTACAAAAGAAAGTATCTAACTGAGGGCTTGTTTGTAGTCAGAGAGTGAGTCCATAGGCATCATGATAGGGAGTGTGGCTGTAGGCTGGCAAGGAGGTACTGGAGCAGTCGCTCAAGACTTACGTCTTATACACAAGTTGGAAGCACAGAGAGACAGAGACAGAGAAAGAGAGAGATGGGGAGGGGACTGGGCCTGGAAACCTGACATCTCACCCCCAGCGAAACACCTCTTTCAAAAAGGCTGCACCTAATCTGCCCCAAAACAGTTCTACCAACAAGGGACCAAGCCTTCAAGCATGTGAGCCCATGGGCCACTCTTATTCAAACCACTACAACAGCTTACCAACCTAAGCTCCTTTGGTGGTACTCAGTTAAACCCATGGATGTTGTTTGGCTGCTGATACAGTAGGCCATTATTTCTACATCCATCCAAAATGTATTTCTTTACTTTCAGACCTTCCTTATTACAAATTTGAAGTTAAGAACAAGTTAAGATAATTAAAGACACAAGCAATAGTGGGAAGCAGAGAATGGAGATTTATTCAAAGTGGACATATTAGCAAGCAAAAAAAGTCTAGGGATCCCACCCACTCCATATTCAGAGTGAGGTTTCATTTAAATAGAAGACAAGAGGTATGCATAATTAAGCCATCTGGGTCAAGGTATGGCCCTGTCCATCAGTGACCCAGGATTGTCACTCATGCAAAGTGGTCTACAAGTTGTCAAAGCTGGGTTCTAGCAGACAGGTCCTTCTTCTGGCTGGAACCAGGACCCCCGCCTTTTCCTTTTCCAATTCTTTGAAGAGTGTCTTAGTTAGGATTACTATTGCTGTGATGAAACATGACCAAAAAGCAAATTGTGGAGGAAAGGGCTTACATCTCTTACACTTCCTCAGCAGTGCCGTCATCTGAGGAAGTCATAACAGGAACTCAAACAGGGGAGGAACCTGGAGGCAGGAGCTGATGCAGAGGCTATGGAGAGAATGTTGCTCACTCGCTTACTCCTCATAGCTGGCTCAGCCTGCTTTCTTATAGAACCCAGGACCACCAGAGCAGGGATGGCCCCACCCACAATGGGCCAGGCCCTCACACATCATTCACTAAGAAAATGCCTTACAGGCTTGTCTGCAGATGGGTTTTCTGGAGGCGTGTACTCAGTTCAGGCTCCTTCCTCTTCAATGACCATAGCTTGTGTCAAGTTGACATAAAATAGCCAGCACAGGAATCAGTTTCATAGTATACTGGCCAAAGAGAGTAAGGTAGCCAGAAGAATGCAGATGTCTCTTTAAATAACTTGGTTCATGCCAGGATGATTACACTAGACATTCGTATCATCTCTTAAGGGTAATTGCAATTGCTTTGCCAACTCAATGAGCAGAAAGTCAGGAGGCAATTCTCTTGAGCAAAACACAAATACACACCAAGCCACATGCCTGGTGAGAGGGCTGCCTTATGTCCTGGTGAACAAATGAGTCTGAGCTCCCAGGAGAAAAATGGCTGTAATAAGTTTTGCCTGGGAAATTTCTAAGAGATCACTCATGGTGAAATGTTAGCTATCATCCCATGCAGCAACACGGATCCATTTTGCAACAAGCTGCCCAATGATTCAGAGTTCGTAAGAATGGTTTTCTTTTGCTGGGCTCTACTTTCTATCTTATCTGTTTGCTGACATTCATCCCCTTTCTCCTCAGAAGTCAGTTCTCACCTGTCTATGAGGACCCTCACTATTCCACATGGCATTCTCCCAAGAGGCAAATTAAACTCCCAGTGAGTGGCATTTATAAGGAACACTGTATTCTTCCAAATAACAGGATTTTCAAATAAAAGCCTTTGTCCCACCTAGGCTATGTCCTTTAGGACTGTGACTATCTCACCTCTCCTCTGCAATCACTCTCTCCCCTCTTCACTGGCCTCAACTTTCATCAAAAGGGTCCTTCCCTCAGCTGAGTATGGTGGTGCACAGCCTGTGATTCGAGCAGTAGGGGAAGCAGAGGCAGGCAGATCTCTGTGTGTTCAAGGCCAGCCTGCTCTACAGAGTCCAGGGCAGCCAAGGCTACACAGAGAAACCTTGCCCCCACCCCCCAAAAATAAGCAGTTGGATTGGATATTGTTCTATTTAGAGCTGTAGTTAATCTCTGTAAAAAGTCAGTGAAAGATTCATTTGAACCCTGGGTTATCTTTGTAAGTGATTCAGCAGGTCCCTGTTGTTCAACCTTGTCCCAAGCATGTAAGCCTACTGTATGACATTTTTCAAGGACAGTGTCATCAAGGGTGACTCCCATTTCAGAATATGGTCCTTCATCTAGTAATTGATTCCTGACAATATCAATGTCTCAAGTCCGCTTTTATTACTCCATAATTGAAGCTTCTTCTTTCCACCTTGTTAACCATTGTCCTAATTGAGGGTGAGGCTTTAAGATGGCTGTCTTCAAATCTCTCCAGTCTTTTGAAATTATATGATTTTGCGTGGCCTGGTTATTAAATATCTGTTTGACATGGTGAATGTAAGCTATGGGTTGTTACTGGTTCCTTAAATCTTTTTAAATCTTGTGTCTCTATAGGTTGCCACCAGTATTCATGATAACCCTATGGATTTCCCTCATTTCCCTCTAATTCCCTAATCAAGGCTGGAAAAATCATTTTAGGTATTTTTAACAGATAAAAAACCAGTTTGTACCAGACTGCCCTTTTGCAGTCTTGGTACAAGGTGATGCTATAGGTTTTGACCTTCTTTCCTATCTCTGCCTTAGTCTCTCCTCAATTTTATTTATAATTTTTAAATTTTTCTCTTCTAAGTCCATTTTTCATTTTTCTCTCCTTTTTTGTATCTCTGATACCTTAACATTTTCTTCACTCTGATTTATCCTGCCTATTTTCTTCTGTTCTCTCTTAAAGAGAATATATAATATTGTAATCATTACTGAAAAAGTAATTATTCGTATGCTGATAAGTGAAATACAATCTTACGGGATCCAGATGCACTGTGTCACTGTATTTTCCATTTTTTAACACAGAAAATAGTTTTTTGTTTTAATCTCTAACTCTCACCTTAAGGACTTCACTTTACTACTTTTAAACTATTTGTTCTGTGACTGTCTATACCAGTTTCCTTCCTTTCTTTGGCACCTAAGTACATTTTCAAGCATACTGTACCTGTTCAGAGGTTTTCTTTGTCTGGATGTGGCTTTTTGCACTGCCTGCAGTCCTTCTCTGACGTGGTAAGCAAAGCCTTAGAGGGTCAGGCCCTGTGTTTCCCCGAATTTTGCCACCCTCCGCTGAACCAGCTGCTCATAGGCCCCACTCAGGTTCTCAGCTGTGCAGCCCGGCCTCTTTTTTTTTTTTTTTTTTTTTTGGTTGTTGTTATCTTTTATTCACTTTATAGCCTAATCTCAGCTTCCTCCCTCCTCTCCTCTTGGTCTCATCCTCCCTCCCTCTTCCCCCATCTCTCCTCCCCTATTCCTTAAAAAATGGGGTGGAGGTTAGAGGTGGGGAGTGATCAAAAAAGCAGGCAACAGAGCCCTGGCCCCAGTTACCAGGGGACCCACATGAACCCTGAGTTGTCCATCTGCTACATCTGTATGGTGGGCCTAGGTCCAGTGAAGGAGCCTCACCTCTGTGTTCTAGGAGCGCTAGCCAAGAGCCATGCCTACCTGCCCCATCTCTGGCAAGTACCAGCTGAGGCAGATCTTTCTACTTAGCTTCCAGTGGAGTAGCACATGGCTTCTCGGTTGCTAGGAAACCAAGTCCTGCTCTGTGTACCAGAGTTTTTGGTGTAATGCCCAATCTAGTGTCTAAGCTTTGATTCTGAGTAAGTTCTTGCCCCACATTTGGTGGAATAATTGAAAACATGTTATATTTTGGTGTGCCTTTTCTATTCACCACTCTAGCTCTCAAATAAATGACACAGAGACTTATTATATTTATTAATAAGCTCTAGGCACCATAACTGGGCAGATATCCATTTGTACTAATCCTCATTGCTAATCTTGCTGTTTCCCAGCCCCAAGTTACTTGTCATGTTGGTCCTGCCTGGGCCGTTTCTGTTCCATCAGGTCAATTCTTAATCGCCACTCATCCTTTCTCTACCTCTTCTTCCTTCTTCTTCCCCTCCCTCATGGGACCTGAGCCCCAAGACCAGGAACGAAAGCTCCGTCTACCTATCTCCTCTGCCTAGTAACTGGCTGTCAGTTTTCTTAACTAATCAGAGGTAATTGGGGAGCAAAGTTCACACAACATTGATCATTGACTAGACTGCAACCAGATTCTCGGGACCCAGAATTTAGCATCTGAATACACAGAGCACCAGAACAACCCCCAACAGATCTAATGTTG